TCGTTTTCCCGCTATTCGCGATCGCGCAAAAAGTGTTCAAAACCCCATTGACTTAACATGGGGAAAATGGAATCGCACGTGCCACGTGCCACGAGGTTTTAAGCGAGTAGCGACCGGTGCCAACAGGTAGATCGCCTGCGGGAGCCCATACACTGAAATTTTTAAGAAAATCGAGCCACAAGTTTAGGCCTGACCCAAGTTGCCCCAATTCGCGGCCAGACATGCAAAACATAGCCCGGAGAAGGACCGCTCCGGTTGTTTTTCAATAGAAAAACACAATTCTAACGAATAGTGTTTGTCTTTTCAAACAACCTGCGGTTATTCTAACGAATACCAGCATCTGCGATGCTGGGCTCCGCATCGCGGGACCGCAGGTTGTTTGAGCAAGCACCTTTGTAAACGCAGCAAAAACGTCCGCCGCCAAACGAGAGGATAAGCCTTGCTCGTGCAGACCGGAGTCGGTGTGCTACGGACTGACGTGCACGGCACCCTATTCGCCGGTCTATAGCGGTGTGCCAAATTTAAGTGCAATCGACTCGGCCGTTTTCGAGCTCTGGAAGCGACACCCTGCACGTGCGCACGTGCAACCTGGGTCCCAATTGACTTGTGCACGGCACTCTATTCGCCGGTCTCTAGCGGTGTGCCAAATCTGAGCACAATAGGCCCGCCCGTTCTCGAGATCTGGAAGCGTCGCCCTGCATGTGCGCACGTGCAGTTGCACCCCAATCGTGGCGCATGGAAATACATACTAAATGACTGGTGGACGGCGCCCTACTGATCGGTATCAAGCGGTATGCCAAATTTGAGCACAGTCGGCCCAGCCGTTCTTGAGATCTGGAAGCGTCAGCCTGCTCGTGCGCACGTGCCAAATGGGTCCCATCTGACTTGTGCACGGCACCCTACTCGCCGATCCCTAACGGTGTGCCAACTTTGATCACAATCGGCCCAGCCGTTCTCGAGATCTGGAATCGTCACCCTGCCCGTGCGCACGTGCAGCTGCACCCCAACCGTGACACATGGAAATGCATTGCCCGGCGGTTGCCTACATCCATGCCAAGTATCAGCGCAATCGGCAAAATAACTACAGAGTTATTAGACTTGTTACCGAACTGACACCTTATCGTTTTGCACGTGGCACGTGCATTAGGGGTCACCCATACGCATCGAGAATAGCACACTACGTGTAAGAAAGGAAGGAGCTATCCCACACAAAAGACCGCGAGTGAATCAGTCAAGCAGTTGTGGAGATAGAAGCTTTGCAAGGCGCCTCCACGGCGGCCGACTGCTAATATTTAGCAATAATCAGTGTCGCATCCGCACACGGGAGGTATCCCCGTCACCTGTTCGTATACTCTAACGTGGTTGGGTTCAAGTCACAGTCGAGCCCTGATTTTTTACAGCTTTTCTTAAAAACGGCACATCGTGCAGTGACGGGCTATACATCGTTGGAAAGAGCATCGAAAGTTGTATATTGTATTAGCTTTTCAATGTTATATATCTGCAACGTAAAAACTTATTAAGCAACAAAGACGCTCCCATTGACCTTCCATGTTAAAAATTGTCATTTTTAAACAAGCTTTTAAAGAAAAAACGATTTTGCACAGCTTAACGAAGCACAACAGCATATACTATGCTCCTTTCTCAACAACTCTCGAAAGTTTGGACGAAATCGTGACACATAATTTTTTACAATGCGCGAATGAAAATATCTCTGCAAAATTGTCCATTCACTTAACATGGGACACAGCAAAATTCCAACTTTGACCTCGTGCAAAGAAACGTTCCGAGATTCTGAAGGGTATACGGCGCACACTGGCGTGTACCGGAACATGTTTGCCATAAAATGCTGGGATGAAAACCACCCCTTTCTTGGCTCGTTTGTCCGCCATTCCCGATGGCGCAAAAAGTGCCCCAAACCCCCATTGACTTAACATGGGCGAAAATTCAAACGCACGCGCCACGCGCAAAATAATTCTGAGCGAGTAGCGACCGGTGCCATCAGCTAGATCGCCTTCGAAATTCTATACCCTGAGATTTTTACGAAAATCGTTGCAGAAGTTTTGGCTGGAATCAAGTTGTACTGATTCGCGGCCAGCCATGCAAAACATAGCCCGATGAACGACTGCTCCGGTTGTTTTTCAATAGAAAAACACAATTCTAACGAATAGTGTTTGTCTTTTCAAACAACCTGCGGTTAGATTCGCGGCCAGCCATGCAAAACATAGCCCGATGAACGACTGCTCCGGTTGTTTTTCAATAGAAAAACACAATTCTAACGAATAGTGTTTGTCTTTTCAAACAACCTGCGGTTACGTGCCACGTGCCACGAGGTTTTAAGCGAGTAGCGACAGATGCCATCAGGTAGATCGCCTGCGGGAGCCCATACCCTGAAATTTTTACGAAGATTGAGCGATTCGTTTAGGCCCCGGTCAAGATGTCTCGATTCGCTGCCAGACTTTCAAAACATAGCCCGGAGAAGGACCGCTCCGGTTGTTTTTCAATAGAAAAACACAATTCTAACGAATAGTGTTTGTCTTTTCAAACAACCTGCGGTTAGGCCCCCGTCAAGTTGCCCCAATTCGCGGCCAGACTTGCAATAGAAAAACACAATTCTAACGAATAGTGTTTGTCTTTTCAAACAACCTGCGGTTAGGCCCCCGTCAAGTTGCCCCAATTCGCGGCCAGACTTGCAAAACATAGCCCGGAGAAGGACCGCTCCGGTTGTTTTTCAATAGAAAAACACAATTCTAACGAATAGTGTTTGTCTTTTCAAACAACCTGCGGTTACCAGCATCTGCGATGCTGGGCTCCGCATCGCGGGACCGCAGGTTGTTTGAGCAAGCACCTCTGTAACGCCGCAAAAACGCCACCCGCCAAACGAGAGGATGAGCCTTGCACGTGCAGATCGGAGTGGGTGTGCTACGAACTGACGTGCACTGCACTCTGCTAACCGGTCTCTAGCGGTGTGCCAAATTTGAGTGCAATCGACCCGGCCGTTTTCGAGATCGCGAATGAAAATGTCTCTGCAAAAACGCCCATTGACTTAACATGGGGAGCGAAAAAAGTTCAACTTCAAACTCGTGCATCTCAAGTTAACGAATTCTTACGGGTATACGGCGCACACGGGCGTGTACCTGAACGTGTCGGTCATAAAATGGTGTGCAGCAAACCATACCTTGTTCCGCGATTTTTTCCGCTATTCGCGATCGCGCAAAAAGTGTTCAAAACCCCATTGACTTAACATGGGGAAAATGGAATCGCACGTGCCACGTGCCACGAGGTTTTAAGCGAGTAGCGACCGGTGCCAACAGGTAGATCGCCTGCGGGAGCCCATACACTGAAATTTTTACGAAAATCGAGCCACAAGTTTAGGCCCCAATCAAGTTGCCCCAATTCGCGGCCAGACATGCAAAACATAGCCCGGAGAAGGACCACTCCGGTTGTTTTTCAATAGAAAAACACAATTCTAACGAATAGTGTTTGTCTTTTCAAACAACCTGCGGTTAATCTCATTAGCCCCCTGGAACATCTCCACAGCGCCCTGTTCTGTATCCGAGCCTGACAGCAGGTCATCAACATACAGCGATTCTTTCAGTTCGGTGACGTCTTTTCAAACAACCTGCGGTTAATCTCATTAGCCCCCTGGAACATCTCCACAGCGCCCTGTTCTGTATCCGAGCCTGACAGCAGGTCATCAACATACAGCGGTTCTTTCAGTTCGGTGACGACCGGACTCTCTGGGTACAGCGATAGGTGATACCTGATGGTGGCGTTCATTAAGAACGGGCTGCAGGCGACACCCATCGTCACCCGCTCGAACCGCATGGTCCGAATCTGGCCCCCTTGTCTCCATAGGAAGCGATGGGCATCTCGGTCATGTGACGTCAGACGAACCTGATGAAATGCTTTCACAATGTCAGCCGAATACCCGAACCGCCATCGTCTGAAACGAAGTAACACCTCCAGCAGGCTCGGCATCAGAGAGGGTCCCACATATACTACATCATTCAAAGAGACACCGTTGGGCCCCTTTGCACTAGCGTCAAAGACAGGTCGAACCTTTGTTGTACCACTGGTTTCCTTAACCACTGGTCTGTGCGGGATATAGAACATGACGTCACTGGTCGTCATCTGATCAGGTGGCACCTCACTGATGACACCATCACTCACCATCTGACTGAGAGCCGAATCATAGTCAGCTCGCAGCTGGGGGTTCCTGTCCAGTTTGCGCTCTAGACTCATCAGCCACCTTTGTGCGGAATCACGATTCTCCATCAACCGACTTTTGTTGTCCCTCCAGGGCACACTAACAACGTACCTGCTGCCATCATACTGGATGGACTTGTTGAACGCCTTCAACGCGGCACCATCATCATCATCCGACTCCATCTCAGTACCAGGATCAAACCCATCCCGAGACCACATCGCACTAGCACTGGGAGTTGGGGCGGTCATCAGAAGCAGTTGACATCCCATGCCTGAGTCAACACCAGCAGGGCCCCCCTCCACTGAACCAGAGAGGACCCACCCAAATGGTGTCTCCATAGCAGCCAGCCCGTCAGGGCCTCTGACAAGTCCAGATCTTACCAGTGACCAGTATTGGTCTTGTCCAACAACAAATGTGCAGTGGGCAGTCCGACGTGCAGTCTGCTGCGAGCTGGAGATGGCTGAAGGGCTGAAGGAGCTGGGCAGGGACTCGAGGCCGCATCAGTGGCGCGCATATCACTGGCACCTCCACCACTCGAACCTTAGTAGCTGTCGGCACACAAGCAGCATTTGCGGCAGAAACATTGTGCTCATACACATTACACACATTTGAGGTTCTACCCCCACCAAACGATGCACATGTTATGTCCACTGACCCCTGATACTCCCCTTTCACTTGTTTCATCAGCCTCTCGGTCACAAAACTTTTGTCAGCACCACTGTCATAAATCAGGGTAGCAGGTACAGGGCCATCTTTGCCCTCAACAAGTACTATTGAGCGCAGAATCCGCGCTCATACCGGGACCGAGGCTGGGCCACGGCGGGGCAGGCCTGGTGTGTCAGAGAGTGTACCGATTAGTGTGATGCGGCACAGTATCCTTTGAGGGTCACGGAATGACATGACCTGGCTGTTTCTGTTCCGAGTGGGGCGGAAAGCCGGGGAAGGAGAGCCGCAGTATGCGGCCGCAGCCCGCGTGGAGTGTGTGCGGCTAGACGTCAACGTGAGCGTGATGGCACACCTCAGTGATCTTGACAAGGGCAGGCTCATCTTGCTTTTCGATCAAGGTCACTCTGTCAAGCAGGCGGCAGAGATTCTCGGTGTAGCTCTAACTACTGCCAGACGGTGGAAACACCGTTATGAGCAGGAAGGGGAAAGGGGTTTGAAAGCGCGCTATGATCAGTGTGGAAGAAAACGGAAGACGACGGAGGAGGAAGACAGGCGCATGGTGGAGGTTCGTACTTTTCTTTTATTATTTGTTGCTGTTGTCTCTGCATTTCTAGGTCAAGACGAGCGTGTAGTATCAGATGACTAATCGGGCCAGCATAATGATAATATCGGGCCATAATGACTAATCGGGCCAGCATATAATGATAATATGTCGATTAAACAGCATGTCTAATTGATTAAACGTGTCAAACTATTTAATGAGGTTAGTGCTTGTACGAGGAACATGTTTATAAATAGTAGAAAATGTAAAAACATCACCCTTTTTCCTCGATAATTACCAAAACTAATGCTGTACAAATATATACTTTACTTGACAGAATGTCATATTTATTTCGACCACAGGTCTTTTTCAAGCATTTTCAAATTAGAAAAGTGTCAAACTATTTACTTCAAGATAGGATTGATAAAAATAGCGAGTAATTTTTTTTCGGATCTCGCTTAATGACGCCAGAGCCACAGCTCAAACATTTTATGTTCATGTTGAATGCTTGTAAAGTTTGTGAGACAAAATCAGAGCACATAAAAAATCGAACCAACTGAACAATGGTTGGCGGTTTCCTGCCCTCTGGGTGTCTAAGAGACAAAACCTAAGATAAACGTTTTATGGTCTTTGTGTAACAGGTCAAATGCCAGTAAACGTTCGATTGCACAAGTCATATCCAGGTAGATATCGTTTTTGCCCAGCACGCCGTCTTCTCCGCACTCTTGCAAACGGTTCTATGTCAATTCCACCAGTGATATTTCAAGCAGGTCAAACCAGTGACAACTACTCAACCAGTGACATTTCAATCAGTGACAACTCAATCAGTGACATCTGAACCAGTGACAACTGAACCAGTGACAACTCAACCATTGACAACTCAACCAGTAACAACTCAACCAGTGACAACTCAACCAGCGGCATTTCAACCAGTGACAACCAGTGACAACCAGTGACAACTCAACCAGTGTGCTAAATGCATCGGCTCTATTGTCACAAACCACGTTGGTTAAGTTGTCACTGGTTGAGTTAACTGTATGCCCTTGTGAACATGTGAATTTTTTCATTGTTGTTAAATATGTCTTCACTATTTCGGCAGGTGTTTTTGCCCTCCGTGGAGGAAATGCGCCCCGACGAGGAGTGACCCTGGAGTCTGGACTCTAATGCAAGACAACGCCCCTATCCACACAGCGAGGGCAGTCAAGCAGTGGTTCGAAGACCACGCAGACTCAGTAAGTGGCATCATAAACCTATCATGGCTGCTAGCTCTAAAGGCTGCCCCACACTGGACCTCGCATGCGGTTGCGAGTTTGCGGGTTTTGAGTTTGCGGGCATAATACTTATTCATGAGTGATTAGACCGTTCCCTTATGGTAACTTCATGAATGCAGTGAAGCCGGTACACCTTCAGAAACTTACATATAGTCGCAATACCAGCGCAACGAACCAAAATTCGACTCCAACGAAAAACCCGCAAACCTCGCAGAACTCGCAGACCTCGCAGCGAGGAAAATCAAAAGTTGACTCAAAATCAACTTTTGGAATGCGATGCAAGGCCGCTCGCAAGCTAAAAACATGCACACTCACTTGTTAGATGGTATATAGTGTGGTGGTTATAGTGTGGGTCACTTAGCTTAGATTGTATTATTTGATTTTGGAGAAACTCGAAAACCCAAAAACTCGCAACCCGCATGTGAGGTCCAGTGTGGGGCGGCCTTTAGCTAGGTGACCGGAGACCTGATGGCATTATTAAAAAAAAATATTGAGATGCTGTTTATTTATTTATCTGTTTATTCATTTTCACCCCAACAGCAATGCATCCCAATTAGAGGAGGCGAGGCCTACGGCTATGTGCGGGAGGCCGCTTTGTCCCTGGTCGCCTCGTCCCCGCCTGTTATAAACTTATTGAGATAACTTAAACAATTATTTAAAAAGTTCTTAAGATGCCTTACAAAATTGCTCAGAAATGATCAAACACTTTCAAACAGGTGTTATTCGTTGCACCATACAGCTTCATATAGTCATGACCGAGGTGTCAACCTATATCACGTTACAGTGAGTAACAAACACGGTTTTGTTCGCAGGTTCGTGCCATCCCCTGGCCCTCAATGAGCCCAGACCTGAACCCTATCGAAAATGTGTGGTCTCTAATGGTTCATGAGCTGGAGGAGGAGCTGCGCCAGCCAGGCAGCTCAACCAGGACGAGCTCTGAGCCGCCGTCTTGGCGAAATGGGAGGAGCTCCGCCGCCGCCCCGGCTACTTCCGGAGCCTGGTGGCCTCGATGAGGCAGCGGCTGGAGCAGTGCTCCGAGGCAGTGGGCGGCCACACCTCCTACTAAACCGTTGTTTTTTTTTTGTCATCTGATGTTAAAGAACAGTGATTTGTTTATAAATTTTACTTATGTTACCTACATGTGATTAGTGTGCAAGATGTATATTAGTACAAATGTGACTCAGTGACAAGAGGCTGATGCCTGATTTTTTTCTTTCGTGATGTGATATTCAGGGGGCTTGAAACGTCTCAACTATTAGTGCAAGCTAGGAGTGCTATGATCAGCAGCACTTGTATATAGCATCGCTGGATTATGTGCAGTCAGAATAGACTTGATTACTCAACCTGACAAACCCCAGGACTTCACTTGAAGAAATATATAGCTGACACTCTTGGCATGTCTTGTTTTATTATTTGAAAAAATGTTAAGCTTCGTTTTTAGACGTAGGTGCTACTAGCATGCAGTCATTCCTCTATTGCAGTCATTTCCTCTAGGCTCTAACAATGAATTAGTCAACTCTAATTCATTGAAAGCGAGAGTTTTATCAGCACCCAGGGCTTCGACAAATTTTGAATGACTCCGACTACTAATAAAACTGTTCACTCCGACCGACTACGGTTCCGGCTTCGACATCTTTTGCATTGAGGATTCCTAAAACGGTTGTGCAAAAGATGAAAAGGAAGATTGGTGCACCATGTGATATTTATTTTAATTGTCGCCCGTGGAAAGGGCCGCACCCTCCTGAGGTTTTTCACGAATAGCGAAAAAAGGCGGCACGTAGTGCCGTCAGGTTTCCGGCTACCTTATGGGCCATCCTTTGCGCAAATTTTGGCGAAAAAAAAATGACCGGGTCAGGTCAGGTAACAGAGCTATGACGTCACAAAGGTAACAAGTTCAGGCCGATTTTGCACGAAATCGTAGTTTTTCGTGCTTTTAACGATGATATCGGCTACACTTTGGCATTGTTTGGGTCAAAAGTGACTGACATGGCACTGACACACCCTCCATTGACCTACATGTAGGGTCAAGGTCAGGTCAGGTCTAGTTCAGGTCGGTGACCTCTGGTGACCTCTTGAAGTTGACTTTCCGGCGGTAATTTCTGGCCCTGAATTCGAATCTGACGGCCAAATAAAGCTCGGGCACTTGGTTTATTGAGCGTCTCAGGGTCAAGGAGAAGTCGCCGACAGGTTAGATCACATTTCCGACCCCAACTGTCAGACGACATTTTCGACCACCCGGGGCGCGAACGCGACCCCGCCGGCTACCGGGCGCTCTGCCCCGGAAGTTACCGCGTAAAATGTGACAAACTATACACCAAAATGCACCAAATTCATCCAGAAATACGATGGTGAAAATTCCATGACGATATCTGCCATAGCGGCGACGCTACAGGCGCGCGAAGTTAAAAATGCCGATTTTCCCGAACTTTGATCTTTAACCTGCCAAACCTACAGGGTGGAAAGTAATTACGCGAACATGTATTTTCTTACAATTTTGACCATCAGTGGAGCATTTTTATGAGTACGGGCTGTCATGGAACATAATTGGTCGTGTTTGTTGTCGCCTCATCTACCAAAAGTGACCTAACTTTGAACAATGACCTGGAAGGTCTTAAACACCTCTCGACTTAAAATGGTGCAGACGCCATACGCTGCACAAGACCGAAATGGGCAAAGAGCTCAATTTGGAGCTGCCAGGGAAAGCGTTTGTGATTATTTTCGCTGGACTGGCGGAGAAGGGATTTGTAGCGGTCTCAGCACCAGCATTGCACAATTATACGTTTTTTTAAAAACATAATAACACTTGAGAGGACTTAAAAAGCAAAGCCGCCCGGGCAGCAATCCCTCGGCGAATTCTGTCGCCGGGCGGGTGGTCACCATGTCGGCGACAAAACGACGCCAGTCGACCCGAAAACTGGCAAAATAGCTTACTCTGGTCGGGTACCCGATCTAGGATATCACGATTCGCACATTAATACGCAAAAATTCAAAAATTAATAACGTACAAACCCCCGGGATGACCAAAATTCACGAATTAACAGCAGAATTGTTAATTGAAGCTTTTCAAAGACCATCAAAGATGGACAGAGGAGGACAGGCAGCTGGATTTGTGGTTGGGTGAGACATCTGTGAAACTGTTTCATCCGTCAAACCTGCAGAACAACTGCTCTGAGGGCTGCTGTTGCGTCCTATGTCCCGTCCGTCCCAACCTTCAAACATCCGGCAAAGGAACTCATCAGTGGGTCACGAGCCCCCGGGTGGTGTCAGAATAGCGTGTAGCGCTAAAAAAGGTCACTAAAAATAAAGTATACAACCGGTGGAACATCCTCCAAGACGAGTGTCTCTGTCTAATCCACCGTGCAACGAAAGGGGCAAAATGACTGAGCGCACTTTTGTGCCTGACGCAAAGAAACTGCTCTTCGTGATTTGTGAAATCCTTACTTTCACGGCCAACAAAACGCAATACTGGTGCTGTGAGAACCTGTTTTTCTTCAGGACATACAAAAGCTGATCTGGGAAACGCCTGGGCCTCAATTCGATTAAAAATCTCCAGATGACTCCTCAGGAGACCGTCTAAAAGCTGCAAGGAGCCACCAATACCGATTGCCTCACTGGATAGCTCCATAAGGTGTGGGCTGAGCTTTGGCCAACAGATCTTCACATGCTGATGTAAATCATGGCGGAACGCCTATGTCAATGCATCGCAACTAGATAAGGATAAAGTAAAACATGTATTGTTTATGTCACCACCGTTTTTTTCATTACTAGAAGACGAAAAAGTATGTTCGCGTAATTACTTTCCACCCTGTAGGTCAAAGATTGACCTATATGGTCAAAAGTAATATGCGCAATCGCGAGCTCTCGTCGAGAGCAATACGCTGTGTTTCCGCTAAGCTCTACGACGACGCGTTTCGAAACGGCAGAAGGGGTCGTACCCCCCCCCCCCCCTCCACTGGAAAGGATGGCGAAATGCCGTCCACGGGTGAGGGCTAGATTTTTAAATTGCAAAGTTCTTAAGCGCCGATTCGGGCAACTTTCATAACGGTAATAACGAGGGGCACGCATTCGTGACGCATGCTCAATAAATGTGAATTGTTATGCCACATTGACGTTATGTTACCATATAGTTTGGAGAAACAAAAAGTCTAGTTCAGACAGAATGGTGGTGGCCATAGGGAAGTTGTGGCATTTTCGCTTATAGTTCGGCTCAGACTTCTGGTGAGATCTGTGCTTCCGGTACTTATTTGATAGGAACGGATTTTTTTTTTTTCATTAAGGTGAGATGAGCATTTTTGAGAAACATAGCAAACTTCCATTTATAGTAAATAAAAAGTGTGCCCATGGTCTGGAAGAGCCTAGGTTAAGAGCAAGGAGCAAGGCCGAAAACATCAGGAGTTTTTCTATAAAACGTTGCGGTGAGAGCAAAGAGGGCGATGAATTTAAGGACGATCCGAAACTACGTAACGGCACACCTTAAAACACAGAAGCCTCTTTAATCGCATTCCTACAGAAAGGGGTCTTTCCCCGGCTGGTCGGCCATATTACAGTAATACACCGTTTCACCATGTCTGTGGCCTGCCTGTGTAGGGGAACAGCTATCTGCTGACACCGCCCGGGCCCGCTCCCCGCAAACAGCCACCGTGATCAGTGGACTTCAAGCAAACCCAAAACTTTGCTGGAGACATAATCCCAATATACACAGTACACACTGCCGCACTAACTCCGCGCGGGCTGCGACTGCATGAATCGCTCCCCTTCCCCGGCCTCCCTCCCCCACTCGGGGGGGGGGGGGGAGGGAGGCCGGGGCGGCTGCCTTCCGTGCGGCGGCTGACCCAAGTTCACCAGACAGCAGCCGCCTGGATGGGATACTGTTCCGCAGCACACTATCGGTACACTCTCTGATACACCAGACCTGTCCCGCTTCGGTCCCGGTATGAGCGCGGATTCTGCGCTCAATAGTACATGAGCAATGGGAAGCAGTGACACACTACCCGTAGTACAAGACAGAGACACTCTAGCTTGTGGCTCCTGACAAGACTGAGTCGTTTCCCCCGTCAGACCGCTGAGGTCTGAAGGAGGTGGACTGAGGAGGTCTACCTGCACCCTCACCACCCCTGGATCCCACCAGGCCATCAGTTCCCCTACACCAGCACAGTAGAGGGTGGTGTCTGCCACCACAGTCACATCTCTTAGCGCACTGTTTCGCATGATGTCCAGTCTGCAGACAGGACATACACACATTTTTAGCCCTTACTTCCTGGTACAGGGACCCGCAGTTGCTACTGTACACATATATTACCAATTTAGAATTGCGCTATTATTTGCTAAGTGCTGGCCATTGGAGAAAGAAAATGTAGCGCAAAGTATGGAGGAATAACACATGTTTGCTCCTAGCACTTATGTTTTGTATAATTCCTCTTACCGCACCAGATATTCTTCCAAAACTACAATCGTGCTATTTTTCCGCGCCGGTTGCCTCCCCAGAGCCCGTCCTTGGTATCGCCTATAGCTTCCGTTCCCGCTACGTGAATGAAAGTCACGTGACTACTACAGGTTTGCGCTCAGTACTAACACACCTAGCCCGAGGGCCGGTCCGTAGCGGGGAGGGGTAGAACGCCAGAGCTCCAGCGCAGTGGAGGTAGTGGTGGCCCGTATCATAAAGAGGCAACCGTAAGCAGAACTACAATTGCCGCAGTATAAGATTATGATCAAGTTTCTTTAAATGTATTGATTGACAAGAAAGTGCAATGCTTATCCGATATAATAAAACGGTGTCCAAGGCCTTGGAAGAACTATAAAACATATTCAGCAACGTATAAATTTTTGATACAGGCCATGACCTTTCACCTTGCCTCCGGGGAGGACCGCTCAGGAAGCCACATACCGAACGAATCGAGGCCTCGCAGCGCGGCG